GCAAAAGTCTCTAGGACAGGATTCCCCACTGTGATTCTAAAAGTTACACAAAAAATAAGAGGACTTCTGGGTGACTATTCCCCAGTGAGAGTTAGCAGCTGTCAAGGGATGTGATGTACAACATTCCTTTTGTCCTAAAAATGCCAAGAGCTGAAGATAGCTCATGGGCTCAACAAAGACTTATGTTTTATTAAGGACTATATCATAAAGCATCAGAAAAGATGATAAAATTTGTTTACATCATTATCTAAGTATATGGCTGTACAATATTTGCTCGTTCTGAATATTATAGGGTTAGACATACTCTATTCCAATCTATTTTAACATAAAGTTTTTTTGTATCAAATTACTGTATCATGAACAAAATGCAAATGACATTAAATTCTAAAAATATAAAATGACTAGTCCTGACAAAATATGCATTACTGACCAAACTGTAAACCTCTTTAGGCCATGGAAATAACAGGAATAGTTCACATAAACTCACTAGATAATATACCACTAAATACACTGCAGGATATACTTTATATTAAGCAACAATATGAAAAACAGAAGACAAGCACAGCCATTCTATTATCAGCTCATACCAGATGAGCAGGAACAGGTCTGTTACAAAATTCTACCTTGTCATCAGATTATAATGCTACTTAGAGTGCCCTAATGTATTAGCTTGTGTTGTTATGCTGGCAATGCTTGCACAAGAAGCAAACATAGAAAAAACAAAGTTTGCTGAAATAGCAATAATATTCTGCCTATCAGAAAAAACTTTTGTGAATATTTAAGATATTTCCATGGCTATCAGCTCGTCACCATATCCAATTTAGCGAATCGCTGCTTATAAAAAGCTATAAATGATCTGGTCTATTTCAAGGAGTATCTACACCTTTGTCAATAGGAGTAACCTGTATGCATTTAAAACCTGCCCTTGAAATAATGTTCTTACTCAATTTCACCAAAGAACAGCATTAAGAATTATAACTACAGTATTACAAAAGTAAAATGACAAATGTGTTTTTGAAACACAGTGAAAAAAAATTAAAGTATCACTGAAACACAGTCTTAAATAGGAATGAATTTACCCAGCTTAGCAGATAATCAGTTTTGCCTCAATATAAACTGCCAGCTAACCTGAATTGCCTTAGTAGGTATTTCAAACCTGGAAGAAGCTACTAAGGTCCTCTTTCACCAATTTTCTTCAAATAGTGTTATCAACAGTAGATGGCAGCTTCATTCAATAAACAAGAATTTTTCTGGGTTTATCCAAACTTTCAAATGGCTGGCCTTGGAGTTTTATCAGGAAACAAGAAGCATATATTTTCCAGAAACAAGATTTAATTTGTTCTTATGCTTATTCTGTTGTTTTAACTTCTTTATGAGTTGTTTGGAAAATTTGTATAACTGTGTTTTCAACAGGGGTTTGGTTAACATAGATACCAAAGCAAAAAACTACTTAGAACAGTCAAAGGAAACCCACAAAAGGAAGCAAAATGAAAACTACATGAAGAATGTAGTTAATTCAATATTTTGAATTAATATTTCCATTTATGTTTATAACCAAGGACTAATTCCAGATACAGTATTTCAACTGGCTGAGAACCTACTGTTAGATGTCCAAAGTTAACACTTCATTTTAGCTACTTGGCAATGTACTTTTACTGATATTGTAAACTTATGCAATTTGCTATATGATGCAACTTCACTGGCCTACATTACAGAGCTCTTGTAAAGATGACTGAAAACATGTGAAATACTTTCTGCAGCTACATTTCTCATGATTGCTATTTTTTATCTAGCTGCTAAATGTATAATGTATAATACATTTTGAGTAATAAATATTTAATTAAGCATGAAAAAAAATCTTTTCATGATTTTTTCTTAATCGAAATACAGTTTTTTTAACAAACTTACAGGTAGTCCTCAGTTAATGACCACTCATTCAGTGACCGTTCATAGTTATGATGATGCTGAATGAGTGTTACTTATAACCAGTCCTTGAAGTTCCAGCCTTCCCAGAGCCCCCGCAGTCATGTGATCATGATCCAGGCACTTGGCAACCAGTTTGCACTTACAACAATTGTAGCATCCCAATGTCATGGGATTGCCATTTGCAACCTTCCCTGCTGGCTTCACACAAGCACAGTCAATGGGAAAGCCGGCAGGGAAGGTCACAAGTTCCTTCTGTAAGTCACTTGCACCCTTGTGGCTTTTTCTCCCGAGGAACACGGCTACACAGCATGAGATCCCAGGGATCTCGTACTCCATAGCGTGCATCCCCACAGTACCCCCCGTGCAGCCTCCCTCACTCAGCAGCAGCCATCCTTGGCCCCATCACACTTGCAGCACAGCAGCCACTTACCCACCCGCCAGCCTGCTCGTCAACCACCCAGGACTTGCAACTTCCTGCTGGATTCCCCACTGACTTTGCTTGTGGGAAGCCGGCAGGAAATCATGAGGAGATCCTCACTTAACGACCCATGATCCTCACTTAACAATGGCAACAGGGACTGCTGGGATTGCTGTCACTAAGTGATGTGGCCACGTGACCTCATGCTTTATGACTGCATTGCTCAGCGATGGAAATTCCGGTCCCAATTACCATAATTAAGCAAGGAGTATCTGTACTACTTACTTCTCTCTCATATTACATAAACTTTTACTGAATAAAGTTTAGTTGTTCTTCACAATAGAAGAATGGAAGAATGACTACACAGTGATCAAAATACTACAACTAAAAGCTGTCTGAACTAGAGATGCAAGATGTAAAGAAATAATGGAAGAATGAGGTACAAAAATCATGGAGAGAAAATAATTTTACAATACTTGCACACACATGTGCATATTTTAATGCTTATATCAATCATGAACATAAAATCATACATATATTTTACTACTTAAGGGGCAAAATACATTGCATAACTTGTAAATGATAAAGAGCAGTTGCTTTGGGCTTATTTCACCCTTACCAAAGTGCTATATGCCAAGGCTCCTATTTGCTTCCCATGTCAATCTGCCCTCTTTTTTAGTTGTTTCTGTTAAGAGTATGAGCCTACTGACAGGGACTACCTCTTCATCTCTGTAAAATAGTAAGACAGTTCCAGACACTGGTAGAGACTTCTCAGCCTTTTGGCTAACATCAAGTGTAGCATGTGTGTGTGACACAGTACTAATTTATGAGAGCTTAACATATAGTTAACAGTATTCAAGTAATAATTTGACAGAGCTGCAAACTGTTACATTCCACTTGGAATCCTATACATATTTACTCAGAATTTCTAGAGTTCAATTTAACTTGTTCCTAAGAATACAGCTTAGATGCATAACTGTACAGTTTAAGAACCTATACATAACTTAGTTTATACTGTCTGGAAATGAGAATAAAATGAAAATAAAAAGTAATCACATTGTAATAACAGGATTTAATTACTATATGAATGTTTGAAAACAGAAAATCTAAGAAATTATAACTGGCATTTTTAACACTTCAGAATATCACTGAAGAGTTTGACAGTATCAACATACAAAAAACAGCTCAATCCTAGGCATGCATATGCATAGTCCTGGAAAAGTCAGTCCTGTTGAGCTGAATATTATTTATCCTTAAAAATAATATCATAATTCAAGTTTCTAATTAGACAAATAATCTGGAAACTTAACAGTTTATCTATGTGCTATCATAAATTGTGCTTGCTTTTAAACATTAGACCACCTCAATTGATGAGGATATCCATAGTTACTAATCATCATGGCAAAATATTAGTTATGATATCAGAGGTGTTATATATCTTTCAATACTAGCTGTGTAGTATTTGATAAGGAAGATTCAATTATGCTTAAGGACTTTGTATAGACAACTGTTTCAGCATTGTAAGAAACATATGCTGAATTAGGTAGGATTTTTGTCACAAAGCTGCAACTTTTAATTTGCAACTTTCATTGAACTTCAGAGGCAACAGGAACTGGGAATATTGCACAAGTTGGAATAAGCTTTTAAGCTTGCTTTAAGAGATAAAGTGAGAAAATGAACGTGTATGGCAAAGAAGAATTTGCAACATGAAAAATAATTCCACGGGAAAAAAATAAGACGACTTGTAACACTCTACTATTGTACCAGATATAGCTAGCTTTCAGCATTCCACAAGTTTTATATCTTTTCAAACATCAAGAATTATATACATAGTAGTAGTGCGATAACTTTATTCCCTGGATGCAAGAAAGTTTCAACTATGTAAACTGGATTGTAATATATTCAAATAGTGCACTAACTTAATAACTTATTTGAATTAAAAATATGATCCTTCCACCAAACTTTTTTTTTTTAAGAAATGGGTGCAGGAAGTCCTGAATTTTTTTCTGTAATTTTGTGTTTTTACACTATTTTACTTGATCTGCTGGGATCTCCATATATCCTAGCCAGAGCATTACAACATTGAATTTTATTAATACTGTATTAAAAGACATTTATCTTGATTACATTATGTATCAGCAGCTATTGAAGGCTGGTACATAATGTAATCAAGATAAACATATTTTAATTTGGGAGGCACTTAATTGAGCACCCAGAGAAAGCTAAACACTTCCAAAGTGCGGGGGGACGGGGGAGAAAGAAACCCAGTAGGCCCTCAAGTCACAGCAAGGCACCGCAGCCCAGCTTCTTTAAATCTGCCTACAAAGGCAGCCTCCTTCTCTCCTCCAACCCAACAGCAAGAAGCTCTACTACAATCGACCCCGAGTCCGTCCCTCTCTCGCTCAGTAGAGGCTTCCTGTAAACCGAACGAAAACGTGACAAGCTCCGAGCAGGAGCAGCCGTGCTTGCCGGATGCGAGAAACTCAACCGTTTTAGCTCCACTGCTAAGCCATGGCGTGTCCTATCTTGGGCAGCCTGTCGGCGACGTTAAACACGCGCGTGAACTTGAGCGTCTTGCAAGGAACTGTGGCAGGCATACAAGGGGGCGGAGAAGAAAAGCGAGAAACGAATTTCTTTCCTTCTTCTCTTTTCCTACCTTGTGCAGGGGAGAGTCGGGTGCTCTCCGCCTCTTTGTCGTTGGGTGGCTCGTTTGATCTCTTCCTCTTTGGCACCTCCTCAACACCAAGCCAACTGGCAGCCAAAAACAGAGCAAGGAAGCGGCGGCGGCGCCTCCAACTTGTTTATCCTTTTATAGTCCCAGCAACGCGGCAAACGCTCGGGGCAAAAGGGGCCGCCTCGTTAAGAGCTGGAGGTGGTGGCAGGATAGCATTCGTCGCCCTTCCTCTGCCCTCAGCCCCGAGCCCTTTCAAACGATCCAGGGTTCAGGGACTAGACCCCTCAGAAACGGCAGGGGGGGCGCGAACGGTCTCCTGCGAGGAACGGTAGCCACTTCGGGGAAACCCCCCCCGCACTTTCCCAGAGTCACGGGCGCTGGGGGGGAGAGGAGGGGCCAAGGAAGCGCCAGGGGCAGTTGGTCCCCCGGAGCTTTCCAACGGCCTTCAGAGGGCCACTCTCGCCGGCCAGGTCATTCGGCGCCCTAAGGGCCGCCTCGCGCCGCACGCGCCCGTTGGCTGCCCTTTTTCTGTCAGTGCCCCCATCCGACTCACCTTCCACACGTCCTCTGCGTCCTGAAGGGGGCTGAAGCTTTGAGGGAATGTTGTTGGAAGTAAAGCGGAACCAACCACTTAGGAAAGAAAGAGACGTTTCGGCTCCGAGTCAGAAGATGATGCTGCCGACAGAGAGAGAGAGAGAGAGAGAGAGAGTGGGTTGCGGGGGGGAGGGGGGGGAGAAGGTTCCCCTCGCGGTCAGCCTCGTTCCGCCGTCCGCGATCGCCGATCGCGACTGTTTGTGTTGGCCTGAACGACGCCAAGGAGAAGGGGGGAGGGGAAAGAAGCCAAACAGCTGAGAGGATGTAAACACTGAGGCCACGTGACCCTATCTCAGGGAGGTAGGCGGAGACGCTCCACCCTTCCTTCGGACTGGATACCGGGGTGTTGCGTCGGCTCCGCAAGCGGAGAGACTCCGCCCCGCAACTCGGCGACCAATGAAGGGGCGAAAGGGTTGCGTCAAAAGATGCGAACGTCAATCTAGCAGCCAATAGCAGTTCGCGAGTTTTAGGCTTTGTTTTTGCTTGCTCTGTCAAACTGCAGCCCTTCGGACAGAGATAGGGAGCGGTAACTTGTGAATGGAACCTGTTTCTTTTAAAACATGGAAAATATGATGCAGTAGGCTCCGGTATTAAATTTAGCTTTAGGCAAGTTTTTTTCTCAGTTTCACCCAAAAGAAAGGGAGCTTATTTTATGCTAATGTTATGTTATGTTCTAAAAAGATAAGGAAGGTGTTAATGCTTTTATTTGTTTTGCTTTCGGTTACCAGGGTCAATGACAATAGCAGTTCATACCAAGTTTCCCTAAAATCTGTTCCCGTGAGTGGAGATGCACATACTTATGGTAGATAGTGTGCCCCACTTTCATCCCTGCTCTTATGCTTTCAAGGACAAACTTATAATCGAAAGGATTTTAAAAAGATCTTTCTCCAACTCTTTATTGCAATGGCAGGCCCTGATTCATCAACTGTATATGTGTTAGTAGTGCTGCTATTAAAAACATATGAGCAGAGAACATTTTAAAGATTATCGAACTTCTTGGTATTATTCTTAAGCATATTCTTCCTAGAGGTTAAATCAACTATAATAGCTATGATGTACTTGTTTCATTCTTATCACATTTAAGTCCTTCATATATCACATGATACTTATATGCCTGTGTTTAAAGGACAAGGTCTGCTTAGTCTGATTGTGAATACAAACAAGTATGAACTGAAGGCTGATTGTCAGACTAGGGAAAATAAAGGGTGGAACTTGATTTTTTCTTGAATAGAGTACATATTTTCCCCAATTTCATTTACTTCATATATCTGGGGGCCTTTATAAGTGAGAACGCTGCATTTCTTAGGACATCAAAGATGAAGATTCCTTCCTCTCCTCTCCTCTCCTCTCCTCTCCTCTCCTCTGCTGCTATTGGAATGCATTCTTGTTCTATTTTTTTTAAAGAACATTTTTGTATAGAACACTTTCCATACATTCTATTTTTTTCAGCACATCACTGTCTTTCCCCTGTGTAAATATACTGTTGAAGATCTTCCAAGTTAACAGGCACTTTGTAGTATATATTTACAAATATAGAGTGAGATTCGAGATTTGCTAGATAGTAAACAGAGTCTCTTGCCTATACGAAGGCAGGAAAGCACCTTAATGTCCACAAGTCCCAAACTCACTTTTCTTTCCTTTCCTGTGTCTCAGTGTCAGCTCTAAATTTACTTTTTTTTTTCTCAACATAGCCACCTACATTACATAATTTGGAAGTATAAATAGAAGATCTCCCCTCTTCTCATATGGTTCTTTTAATCTGAATTCCCCAAATGTTTATACATTAAGAAGAGTTGGCTAACTATTTCATTTCCATGGTAACATATCATCAGTAGTGGGTTTTTTTGGGGAGGGGGGGATTGCTGTAGCATTGACATCAATAAATATTTGATTTGATTGATTTATCCAGCAGAAGAATATGGTAGTCCAAAATTGGTTTGACCAATTTAGCAGTCAGTAATTGATTGGTGGGTGTTTCTAATCTCAAAAAAGTAAAAGTAAAGTGATGTTTGAACTGAGTTTGACTCCTGGTGACTAATATGTCTTGGCATGCTGAAATGCTTTGCCATTGTCTTCTGCTGGGATGATTTTTAGATTCCTAGGTTCACCAAAAATACAATTGAATCAGGACTTTTCTATGGTGTTTTGTCAGTGATCCCATGTAACTGTATATGTTGATAAAGTACTATAATAAATAAATTTATATATGGTTGCATCACTTAACCCTTGTTAATATCTACATTTCCCTAGTCTATACACAGTTGGGATTAGGAGGAATTGCTACAATGATATACAGTGGTACCTCGGGATACAAACTTAATCCGTTCCATGACTCTGGACGTATCCCGAGTTGGTCGTAACCCGGAGCAAATTTCCCCATAGGGTTCAATGTAAATCCGGTTAATCCGTTCCGCCCTCCGCCCGAA